GCCATGGGAGATGCAGGGTTACAGGGATGTGCAGGGTAGGGTGGGTTAGCCATGGGAAATGGAGGGTTACAGGGGTGTGCAGGCTAGGTAGGTTAGCCATGGGAAATGGAGGGTTACAGGGGTGTGCAGGCTAGGGGAGTTAGCCATGGGAAATGCAGAGTTACAGGGGTGTGCAGGCTAGGTGGGTTAGCCATGGGAGATGCAGGGTTACAGGGAGAGGCTGGGATGCCCATCAGTGTGGGCTCGATGGGCCAAATGGCCAGTTTCTACACTGTAGGGGTTCTGTGAAAGTTAGCTTTGGTCATTGGATACAAGCGTTAAGATTAAATGTCACATACGTTGCCCTTAGAGAAACCATTCTTTTGGAAGAATTTAAAACTTCACTTCCTCCAGTAAGTAGAACTCCTGCTAAAGACCAGAAGATTGCAACCACTAGACAGGCAGTAGAGGTAGCAATTGTGAGCTGATGCCTAACACTCCATTTTTCTTCCTAGAGGAGGATCGAAAGTGGGAGAGGGACGACCTGATAGAGGTTTATAAAAGCATGAGGAACATAGATAAGGTGAATAGCAAAAGGTCTTTTCCATCGGGTGGAGACGGTACAAAACTAAGGGGCATAGTTTTAAGGGAAGAGGAGAAAGATTTTAACAGGACATGAGGGCAACCTTTTCACACAGAGAGGTTCATATGTGGAACGAATTTCCAGAGGAAGTGATGGATAGATGTGGCCACAGTTACAACGTTTAAAAGTCATTTTGGGCGAGTGCATGAATGGGAAAGGTTTGGAGGGATACGGGTCAGAAACAGTTTGGGACTAGTTCAGTTTGGGATTATGGTCGGCACAGACTGAAGGGTCTGTTTCCGTGCTGTATGACTGTAAAACATGGCAAATAGCCAGGGATAAGGATGGGCTTAGCTGGGAATGCCCCAAGATCTCCTCCTTTAGGGAGAAAGGAAGGAGCTGAGGGCGGACAGTGAGAATTGACAGCCTAAGGTCGAGTGGGGCAACTTTACTCAGCATCCTGGTATCCTCATGGGACTTTGAGGAGATCACGGTGCGACCAACAAGAAGGAGCCCAGAATGAAACCTGCACTGATCGGATTGGAACTTTAATCACAACGAAGAGAACAGAGTCAAAAACAGTAGTTGCTGGAAAAGCTCAGCGGGTCTGGCAGCACCTGTGAAGGAGAAAAACAGAGTTAACGTTTCAGGTCCGGTGACCCTTCCTCAGAACTGATGTATCGGAGAAAGGGTTGTGGGTGGGGGCCGGAATAGGACCGGAACAAAGAATCTTCCACCTACCCCATGAAGAGACAGACATAACTAGGGCCCATGCGGGTACCCATGGCCAACCCTCTGACCTGAAGAAAATGAGAGGAGTTAAAAGAGAAGTTGTTGA